CTCAAAAGGGAGCTTGGAGTGTTTGGACTATCGCCACTGTCTGCACTGTGCGCGTCGAGAGTTTGTTTGGCTGATGCTGTAAATGTCCACGCGACAAAGCCACTTCGTTAAGCTATCATTTGTGGCCAGGTCGCTTCTGAAAAAGAGCTAAGTATCTCAGCGGGCTTTAACCTGGTAAAACAAAAAACAAAGAATGCTTAATCTCGATTCGAAGCTTTCGTCACTTACAGGAATCCAGTCTCTTTGGTTCTTTCAGGTAAAGTCACGTAGACAAATAATAACAGATGACGACCTTTCGATCGCCACACAAGCGATCGTCCTCACCGAAATAATGCTTAGTTGATAGTTATGATATAATTGTCACGTTACGTGTCGGCACCGCCGCTCGCCTTTCCAGAAAAAAATCCATGGGCGTGTGCAGATTCACATCAGTGGCAACAAACCACAGCCCGCTGTGAGCGGGCTTGCGCGGTGAATCGAAGTGCGGGTCGAGGTGACGGGCGGCCTTGAATTGAACAGTGGACGGGACGACGCAGAGCCGCTGTTTGCTCTGGATGCACGGAAAGACAAATGACGTTGCTCCAGTGCTGTAGTAAAGGGCCAGTGATACGGATAGCGTAAGCTATATATATACACGGGGGTAAAGTACGAACGAAATAACGTAACCCGTCTCGTGACACACATATATGTAAACATCGACGATGCTGATTGAACGCAAGCGATGTAATGATCATGTTTTATATGGGCTGGAGAGAGGTAAATTTGGCACGAATGCAAAGTCCATGCGTACAATTAGACACATCGGGAAATTTAAATGTTTGGATTTTAGCCAACACCCTCCCCCCACCCCATCCCTCCACTTTCCCGGAGAAAAATAATAAAATAACGAGATTACGCTCTGCCATCATCGACATTGCTTTAGCTGCCGTGATAACCACTTCAACATTAACGATTCGTATCAACAGTGAACCAAGTAATTAATTATTCTCCCGCAGAGTGTGACGCTAAAGCATATAGAAAGCGGCCAGAGCCCGCTAGCGGATACTGACTGATACTATACATAAGTGTGTGTGTATCTGCCTCTACACCTGTGGCATAATTTACACGTTAGTATATATATCCGTGTTCGTTAGTGCAATTTTCCGTGATATAGGTTTGCACAATAACAATATTCAATCGTTATTATAGAATTGTCAACATACGTGGGTTACATGCGTCGCTATCGACCACTCTCGTAATATTTATATCACACCGCATGAGCCGTATATCCATATATGAATAATATATTTGTATTTGTTTGTAAAATGTAATGTGTTGCTTGTGGCCTATTCGTAAATAGATAGCGGGTGTGATGTGTGGCTCTATATAAAAGACAATAATAATCGTAAAATCATATTCTTGGTTCTTTCGGTAAAGTCAAGTAGAAGGGAAACAATAAAATAATACAAATATGTATATATAAAACAATAAAATTCTCACGACGTTTCGACTGCAACACAAGCAATCATCATCAGGTGTGAAACCCACAGCAAAAAAAAATTGAAAAAAATTATTGCTGTGGTTTTCACACCTGATGATGATTGCTTGTGTTGCAGTCGAAACGTCGTGAGAATTTTATTGTTTTATATTTTTATTATTGTATTGTTTCCCTTTTACGTGACTTTACCGAAAGAACCAAGAATATGAATCCCTGCAGTCACGAAAGCGTTAAATCAAAATCGTAAAATCGTAAAATCGTTATACTTTTCTAAAAATATAATTTGGTTCATTAAAAGCTACGTCCATTGTCAATTATTTGATTTTATAAATGCTGTTAACGCCTTCCCGACTGCCGCAGCATGACACCGCTTGCGTCATATTCCATCTCCTTAGTCCGTATCCACAGTTTATTTTCTTCCACGCGATGGTCATGCGATGAAATATTATACCAGCCCCAGTAGGTGCTAATACAATTTCACGGCATTATTTTCCATCACACAAATATACTAAACAACCGGTTTGATGAGAACTTGTTTCACACGTACATACATACAAAGGCAAATATTCCTCCTTATAGCCTGAATAGGTTGTTGGGGCAAAGTGATATAAGCGAGCACCTGAAGGCCGGCACGGCACACGAGGGTGTGGGTGACCAGCACCATGCCCGGCCACCTTTGTCTCCCCAGTAGCGACGTTTACACACCGCGACAGGTAGTCATTTGAGGCTGAGTCGATTATCTGAACCCAGGACCGGTTCAGATAATCGTGACTGCAGGTGTTGATGGCCGTGAGCGGGAATCGAAGTCCGGTTCCTAGGTTCGTAGCGCAGCGTAGCGCTAACCGCTACACTACCGCTCGCCACATGCATACACACACACGCGTGCGCGCAGTGTTTCGCTCGTTATATAAGATAGATCGTACCATGACTAACAAACCATTGTTTAAAGTCCCAAATAGTTCATAGTTCCATTTATTTGGTATAGCCCTGTGAGCCATTCGGCTCTTGAATCGGGTGCAACCGCAACAAACAAAAAACAAAAACATGAACAAGAAAACATCTTAAAGTGACTTTGTGACTGTGCAAACAGAAAATCCAGGAAAAAAACATCAAAATATTCCTGAAATAGCACCGTACACCAACGCTAGAACCACGCGTTCTCGTCCCAAAATGTAACAATTTGATCGCTACAGTATATTGAATTGTCACATTTTTTGTGATGCTGATGCTGCTACGTTGGCAGTGGTGCACGGGCACAAATAACAACAACAACTCAACACACTCGCCAACAACACTGCCTAAAAAAAAACAAATTGCATATCTGTGATGTCTTGCACAATGGGCGTTCTTCGTGTGCTTCTTCATTTGCTATGAAGAAGGGCCAGTGCCCGAAACGTCGTTGTTTGTATATGCATTCTTTTCAAGGCCACAGCGTTGTTGACATGTGTTGCTGTGCAGCAGCATACACAACTGTTGACAGTGCCTCTGATTATTGCTTAATACAAATTCTAATGCTACGTGTATGATCATATATTAAATCACGTGGCTTTATTGGCTATTTTTGACACGTCTTAGTGTTGGGCGTGTTTACGAATCTAAGATGTCTTATTTCGGGTTTGACATTCCCATTACGCGGTGGAGAGAAGGGGGGATAAAACATAATTGTTACCAAACGAACCGTTGGTTTGGTTAATGACATACCGTCGATATGATTACGCAATTACACCTGACAAAACATACACGCGCGCGACATTAATTGTCCCCATATTCCAATGTCAAGCCAAAGCAAATCAAATCTAGAAGTATTTTCTGCAGGTTGGGATATTTTGTGAGCGAGTGTGCGCGCAGCGCGAGAGCGAGAAATTCATATTCGCAAAAGGGAACTTGGTGTCTTTAAAACAAAAATGGGACGAGAACGCGTGGTTCTAGGGCGCACATGTGGTATCATTACAATTATACTGTTGCCATTATATAATGCCCGGAGCCATTCACATTGTGAGAAGTTATATTACGGAGGAAATGGTCGAGTTCAATCGGAAGCTATAGCGGGCGGCTACATGTGGTACGCTCGCAGATTATCAGCATAAGCCGCTTTTAAGGGGGGCGGGGGGGGCGTGACAGCTGGGTCCCAGATTAAAAATAGATTTCATTACGTCATCGACAATTACGTCAAACCTGTGATCATTGCAGATACAAAATAAAAAAACAATAACACATATTTGCATAAATACTGCGTTTTCCTTTATAAAATGTAATATTTGTCGGGTGCAATGATACGAACAACAACAACATCAACAGCATCGACAACAACAAAATCAATCGCGATTCTTTGCAAGCACCACCAAACATTGGCCGGGCTCCCGCGCGTCGCGATATTAATGCGCAGTGAATAATTCATGCGGGGCCCATGCGTTGCCTTTTATGTGCAGGGCCGATGTGACTCACGAACCATTTCGCGTGTAAATAATTAATGGCAGGAGCGGGCACTGTATGAGACACGAAGAAAATCGGGGCTCAAAATGGTGGTGGCTCTGGTGGAGGTGGTCGAGTCCGGGATGCGGGAGGCATCCTCCCGTTGCGATTGTTTTAATTAATTCGATCGCTTTCGTTCCTTAAACTCCCCGCCGCCACTGCCCCTTTAACATACGACTGGGTCATGGCTCAGAAACTGGGTTCTGGTTCAGAGATCGGGTCTGGTTCAGAGATCGGGTCTGGCTCAGAGACGGGGTTCTGGCTTAGAGACTGGACCTGGCTCATAAATCGAGTCTAGCTCAAGGACTGGGTTCTGGCTCAGAAATCAGGTTCTGCCTCAGAGACCGGGTCTAGCTCAAGGACTGGGTTCTGGCTCAGAGAGCGGCTTCTGGCTCAGAGAGCGGCTTCTGGCTCAGAGTCACAATTTCCGGGCGATGAAAAACGAATTTAAGGCGTCGTCAGTTTCCGACTCCCTCTCTCCTCGAGATGGCTTAATCAGTTATATCGGCCACTGAAATGTCATCAATTACTCGACAATACAATTAGAATCGACTGAATGCAGGCGCACCTTTCGCGCAATATACGGTTGCGTTTTTAAATCTCTCGAGCAACTCGTTATCCCTCAACCCTTATTTGGTGCGAAACAGTCACAAGAATTAACATGCACCATTAATTAATAGCATTTTCAGTGGCCCACAATGACAACTAAAATACATCTTGAAATATGGTGAGGTTTTGTTTTTAGTTGTACGGGTTTTTTTATTTTAATCACCATTTCTGAGCATAGTCCCAACGGCAAAACGCCAAGCGGCCAGACACAAGCAGCACTATTGAAGGTGCAATAGATATGAATGAATACGTGTGTTGCATTGAGCTCGTCGTTTAAACACGGTCACACACCAGCGGTGTTCACAACAACAACCGTTCTACAGGTTATATCAGATGAAGACGAAGGCAACAACAGCAACAACAACAGCTACACAAGTACGATAACCTCCAGCTCAAGCAGCAGAGGACGGTGGCAGGGTGGGGGGGGGAGGCAGAGTCGTACCTGTGGAGGAGCCGAAGCGATTTCCCCGCCGCTTCCTTGAGCTTCTCTTTGCCGGGAACGAACACGCGCTCCTTGAACGCTTCCATCGTCGATCGAGTTGCCGGGCTAGCTCGGAGTACGCGGCTGCAAGCTCGGGAGGATTATTCAATTCAGGAAGACGTCTCGCAACCGCTACAAAGAAGCGCGAACATTGTCTCGCAGGTGACAACAGATCGTCGCAAACCTGTAGCGCGATTACTCTCAATTCCTCTCTCTATGTCTCTCACCCCTTCTAATGTCTGTCCGTCTATTCGCGTCGGACGAAATTAACACGACACGCTTGCGCGCACGCAACGGAAGCGTCGTCTCAATGCGAAAGTGCAACGCGTTCCGACCGGTAATGGGTGCGTGTGTGTGTGGGAAGGGGGGGGGGTATCCAAGCTAAATTTCTCTCGCGTCTTAATGGTCGGTGGACATTCCTCCGAATGGATTTGGCAGCATCAGTAATGAATGGAGGGGGGGGGGGGGAGAAGCACCACTCAAAGTCTACTGCTTTCCTTTACAAAATTAAAAACTAAAACAAAATGAGAGAGTAACCTGCCCCGTTTTCTGCTATCGGTTTTTTTGTTGTTGATGTCTTTAAACAAAAAGCCCGGGTTCCCCACTTGAGTCTAAAGACTCGCGCATTGACATACGGCGACTCGCCTGAGCGTCGTGTAATTTCAGCACCCCCAGCAGTATGGACAGCGCCTGTAGCCAGGCAGATCCGAGGGAGCGGAGCGTGGGCAGAGGAGGGAGGCAGGGCGGGCGGGCGGGCGGGCGGCGGTGATAGGAGTATGGGGGGGGGGGGTAGAGGTGGGAGGATGAGTAGGGGAGGGGGTAGGAATAGGGAGGAAGGAGAGAGAGGGTGGGGGGAGCAGCAAGCCCAACTTTTCGGGAAGCTTTATCCGTTCGCTGCTGATCAAATCATACGCGGCACTGACGCCGAACCCCAGCACGTAATGCGCCACCGGCTGTGCGCGTGTGCGTGCATGTGCGTGCGTGTGCGTGTGCAGTTCTTGTTCAGCCGTCGGATTTACGCTCGCCATAAGCCGAGCCGCGGCTATATAAGCGTTCCCGTGCAACGCGGGCGCCATTAACAAGATGTGCTTGTGAATTCAGAACTCCCAGCGTTGTGGACAGCGCCCGCGCGTCGAGCGCAAGCTCCGCGTGAAAGTGTAAAGGGCGAACGAATGGTGGGGATCGTCGCTCGTCCGCCCGCAGTGGTTCATCAGCTGAATGAGAAGCGCTTGAGAAACGTTGACGCGACACGCGCAGGCAATAGTGTTTGCGCGTGTGCGTGTGTGTAACACCGCGTCTTAGAGATACGCGTGTTCAATGTCACTGCATTGCGTGCGGGTATCGTCTGATGCATCTGTTCTACCGTACTGTGTTTTATTATAAAAATGGCGGAAAGGGATCTAACATTTTTCTGCGCACTGCGCTACGAGCCCGGCGACCCGGTTCAACTCTCAACCGTGCTATGCGCAACGCCCGTGGCTAATGAGGAACTGAACCTGCCACCACGCCCCGCCCCCCCCCGGTTCGCCTTGAGGTCGACTCTGCTTCTGAAATTAATCCTGGGTGCAGTTGTGATCAACATTTCAACCCTGAAAAAAACAAAGTCACGACATCTCTTTGCGTGTGCCATGCCTGCATTCATAGGCGCTCGCTGACAGAACGGGCCATCTGATTGCTTTGTTTCAAGTGGCGACAGGAAGGTGATCGATATGTGGAGCTGTTGTTGTCTTTTTTCTTCGGGCCCGGGAAGAAGTTATCACAGATCTACTCCTGAGATCGCTTCAAGTGATTCATTTTCATATCTACACACAAGGAGGCGCTCCGCTCTTGAGATATGTTTGCTCGCGTGACACTCCAACTGATAAGACGATGTTTTGTTTCGTAGCCTGAAATGTATCCAACGTGAAACACCACGTACAATGTGATGGGTGTTCGTGCAGTCGTTGGTGACCGGGCTGAGACCACGACATTCCTGGAGAACCCAGTGTCATCACGGGCGGCTGAACCCCGCATTAGATCCGAAGACCGAGCAGTCTGCGGCTCAGTGTTCTGACTTGTAAGCCACCCGGCCACAGCAATTGCTTATTTAACGGGAGGATCACTGGTCGCTTGGTTAAATAGACACATGTAATGTACATGTATTTCTCCCGCACCTCCGATTAGCACGGTTGGCTACGTACGGTGCGAAATAAGTTCCGACACACACACATGCCTTTACGATGAGCAATTCACCACGCAGGCGTCAATGCGACATTTCTACAGACAGAGTTGCTGTTGTACGTGTTTGTAATCCGGCGATATACTTTACAAGAGAATTACCACTGTAACATCACCATTATTAGCAGTGGTACGTACAGCACCACACGCCGCGCGTATAAGGTAGACGATGTCAGTGAAATCCCACGGCCCTAATCCCCCAAGAGCCCAGATTGCCCCCTTTCCTTGGCTCCATCACCCCCCCCCCCCCCCCCCCCCCACTTAGGACGAGACAACACCCACACCCGCCCCAGCCGTCTATCATTCTCCCCAGACCTCACGTCAGCGCAATCTATTTATAATTCATAAACGAACTGCTATTTTTACTTAGTTTCGTTAATGTCTTACACATACATACATACATTTGTCAAACCACTGCCGGGTATTCAGGGCATCCCCGCGTTCACTAAACAGCACTGATCAGCGTGATTGTGTGGGGTACAATAACCTCCCAAGCCCTGTAACGTGTGGGGAGGCGATCATCCAACCAAAGGCCATCATCCACAATCACAGGTGTCTCTATCGAGCGATAATAACCATCCAATACAGTAGCATCCAGTAATCTCGCAGCATTTGTTCAGAAAACATCCCCGACTCTGCTGATGAGATCCAGAAGGTTGAACTCATTCCAGAATTTACTGTACTTCAACGAATGCTGTTGATTTAAGCATCGTTTACTGACCGTCAGCGGGCGGACCTGTGCCCACAAATGGTCGTCACTGATCTATCTCAGTTGGTGTGATGGAAACGAAATGAATGGCTGAATAAATGCCGCTCGATAGTGGTCGAAAAAGCCAATACATAGGTTGATCGACTAGAACTACTGTTATGTATGTGTGGAGACGGAACTGATGTGTTTTTTTGCTTATATTTGCATACAAGCATTATACTGATGTTGCTGTTACTGCTGCTGTTGCTGCGACTGCTATTGCTGCTATTGCTGGTGTTGCTGCTGTTGCTACTTTTGCTGCTGATACTGCTGCTGTTGCGACTGCTGCTGTTGCTGCTGTCGCAGCTACTGCTGCTACTGGTATTGCTGCTATTGCTGCTGCTGCTGCTACTGTTGCTGCTACTGCTGCTGTTGCTGCTGCCCCAAAGCGCAGTATCAATCTAAGCTCCTGTGCCCTGCTCCCCCGCCGCGATTTGCGTGCAAGAGCGGAGAATCTGCAGGGGGGAGGGAGGGGGGCATCTGTCGCCGGGATTAAGGATCCGGAGCTTTACAGCGCCTTAGCGGGCGCCGACCTGCGGCTGTTCCGTCATCAGCGCTGCACCTTTTGCTTGAAGAGCAGCGCCTCCCACTCGACATTCTGACCCCAAAGCCGGCCTGCTCCCCCCAACCCACCACAACTTCTTTCCACCCACAAGCACCCCCCTGCCTGCCGTCCGACCCCCCCCCCCCTCCCCTACACAACTCCCTCCGCACCACTCGACCATCCCACCCGCCCAAACGACGGCTGCAGGGGATGTTCTTGGCCACCGCAGGTCATGAATGTGGAATATAATAAAGCAGACTGGCTAAAAAAAAAAATCCAACATATTCGTTCATAACTCTGCTTTCAAGAGGAAGACAAAAATAATAGTCGACGTTTTGGGCAATGGCCCTCCTTCGTAGCGGGTATATAATGCAGAGGTGGTTAGAGGTCACTGCTATGAGGAAGAGCCGTTTCTCGAAATGGTGTGTACTGTATGTTGAACTTCTTTTGCACTGTACGCAGCCAACCCCTCGACCGTGTGAACAATGTCTTTGCCGGTGCTGGGTTACTTGCTGCAATGGGGGTGTCGCTTGCTTATGACTTCCGAACCAGCTTTGCTTCTTCTTTCGTATGGCATCTAAGCAACAGTTTGTATCGACGATGTCTATATGATGTCATAGTTGAATGTGAAAGTCCTTCAACCAATCTAAGGAGGCGGTAGGTGCTGTATGGATTGCATAGATGATGTCATAGTTGAATGTGAAGGTCCTTCCACCAATCTAAGGAGGTGGTAGATGCTGTATGGATTACATAGATGATGTCATAGTTGAATGTGAAGGTCCTTCCACCAATCTAAGGAGGAGGTAGATGCTGTATGGATTGCATAGATGATGTCATAGTTGAATGTGAAGGTCCTTCAACCAATCCAAGGAGGCGGTAGATGCTGTATGGATTGCATAGATGATGTCATAGTTGAATGTGATGGTCCTTCAACCAATCTAAGGAGGCGGTAGATGCCGTATGGATTGCATAGATGATGTCATAGTTGAATGTGAAGCTCCTTCAACCAATCCTTGGAGGCGGTAGATGCTGTATGGATTTCAGCGATACCGTCAGGGTGTGTAGCGTGGTTGGCGCCACTTGTCGGTGATGCGTTTGATGGCTTGGGCTTTACAACAGTCCCAGATTGGTGAATCTTTGATTTTCCATGTATGGAACAACGTGGCACGCCGCACATCTCCCGTAATGCGTCCGAGCGCGGTTTCGTGTGGTCCGCAGCCGTGGTGAGAGAGAGAATGCCCGGCACTTCAAGCGTTGCTTCAACACGGGAATAGCAGCATGTGCTCTTAGCCTTAAGGATCGACGTTCATTGATGAGCACAAGCATTGTCGCACCCCTTATATAATGTAATATCCCCCCAAAAAACGGTGATTTTATTTTATACAGAACACAATTGATGGTGATGATGATCATAGTTGATGGTGATTTTTGTTAAAGGCAATATACGCTGAGCGTCAAGACTCGAGATGGTTCTGCATGTAAATGTTTAAAATGGTGAGCGCTTATCACGGACTCCAATTTTGATTGGCATCCAGGGCTGTTCATGTGCCTAAGAAGTGGTGACACCAGTCCAGAGTTGAAACAAATGTGGCGATACATAACAGTAATTGATGTTAAATTTTGATTTAAAGCTTTCGTGACTGCAGTGATTCATATTCTTGGTTCTTGCGGTAAAGTCACGTTGAAGGGAAACAATAAAATAATAAAATATATAAAACAATAAAATTCTCACGACGTTTCGACTGTAACACAAACAGTCATCATCAGGTGTGAAAAACCAACGGCAAGAAGCGGTTTGTATTTATTAATTTATTTTCAAGCGTTGTTTGTATTTATTTACTTATTTTAGAACGGCGTTTGAATTTATTTATTTAAAAAAATACAAACAACGTTTGAAAATAAATTAATAAATACAAACCGCCACTTCTTTCAAATGTTTCTTGCCGTTGGTTTTCACACCTGATGATGACTGTTTGTGTTACAGTCGAAACGTCGTGAGAATTTTATTGTTTTATATATTTTATTATTTTATTGTTTCCCTTCAACGTGACTTTACCGAAAGAACCAAGAATAGTAATTGATGTATTTCATGTATTAGTATCCTTAATACCGGCCACTAGATCCCTCTTGATGATTTATATTTTGTCTTTCTCTGGCGGACCATCCCCTGCTAAACCGGATGTAATTGCTGATCGAATGTGACTGCCGATGAGGCCCACTC